GTATAAAAGTGCTGCGTGTTAATGTGAATTATTACAGGGGATGTAAACCCTACCTGCATGACATTTAGTTTGCTATGTGCACTGTGTATCATAAACAATTACCATTTACTTATTTTTCACACTTTATTATATCTTATGGCAGCCACTTCCTGTCTACATGCACGCCAGCGATGGCTGCATGGCATTTCTCAGGGTGGGTTTCCTGGTGGTGACAACAGTGGGCCATATTTGTGAAATGTGTGTTGAAACAGCCACTTGCTCCGAGCGCCAACAATCATCCCGCGTTCAAAGGCTGTTACATCGCGTTGTTTCCCCGTATCTTCAGAAACAAATCACTTCTACTGTCGTGGTAACCAACCCGCTTCCCTATTTATAATGGTCTGGCCCTCTAGCAACTTCAGCGCCAAATTATAGCTCATTTGCCTACAAACGTCAGGTGGTCATAATAATCTGGCCACTCAGTGTATATAATAATCCGGCCACTCAGTGTATAGTCTCCATTAAAAGCATGTGTGACCGGGTGACAACAAAGGAGCACAGTTGGGAGACAGCAACAGAGAGCTGTCACCCTATAACAGGAAGTGCCCGAACAAGGACCTTCATGGCAGGATCACCAGGGATTAAAAATGTCTTTTGAAACAACATTAACACGTTAAAGGAGAACTATGGGGTCAGTGTTTTTCCACATAGTTCTCCTCAGGGTCACGGGAGGACATAAACTAACGTCCTCCCGTTACCCTAAGCTCAGTATATTGGGAGCTACAGCTCGCGGTATACTGAGACCGCCGCAGCCGGGAAGGATCCCGACAATACTGTCGAGATCCACCCAGCTGCGTGATTGACAGCATGCAGGCTGACTGGTCTTGTCTCCACCTCCTAATGTAATAAAGCTTGCTCACTGCTGCTCTGCCTTGTGCAGGGTGGCTGATCTGGTCTCCGCCCCCTCCTGTAATAAAGACCGCTCACTGCTACTCTCTCTCCTTGTGCACAGTGACTGGCCTTGTCTCTGCCCCCTCCTGTAATATAAACAGCTCTCTGCTGCTCTCTCTCTCCTTGTGCAGGGTGACTGGTCTGGTCTCCGCCCCCTCCTGTAATAAAGACCGCTCACTGCTACTCTCTCTCCTTGTGCAGGGTGGTTGGTCTGGTCTCTGCCCCCTCCTGTAATAAAGACCGGTCACTGCTCCTCTCTGTCCTTGTGCAGGGTGACTGGTCTTGTCTCCGCCCCCTCCTGTAATAAAGACCGGTCACTGTTCCTCTCTGTCCTTGTGCAGGGTGACTGATCTTGTCTCTGCCCCCTCCTGTAATAAAGACCGGTCACTGCTGCTCTCTCTCCCCTTGTGCAGGGTGACTGGTCTTGTCTCCACCCCCTCCTATAGTTTTCTGCAGACAGCCTGTAGTGGGTGGAGCCTGCTGGGTCCCTCCCACAGCTCTGCTTTCTGCTCCGGCTTTGTACAGCACAGTGACTTTGTGACTGTTACTTTTACAAGATAATAAGTCGGGTCCCAAAGGCATTTGGTCCACAAAAGGGGACTCAGATCCTTTCTGGGAATTGAGGAATATATTTAAATGAATGTTTTTGCACCCGGAGTTCAGCTTTAAAAAAAAACTCTGTACAAAGTCTACCAGCAGTAAATATAACCTCAGTAAAATAATTTAGAGGAATGGATACACACGTACAAACTGCAAAGTCATTACAATAAAAGTAGGAAGTAGAGCTAATAATAATAATAGATAACGGCAATGATCTGCATTTAGAAATACACTCTGGCTTAGGCGTAATTCTGGGGAGGTTATTAATATTCAACGTGGAGCTCACAATTCTTTTACCAACTAATTATACTGGAATTTTCTTGCTATAATCCAATAAGACGTGTGAAATATCCTCCGAAAATTATGCAGCTACAACAATCGTCCTTTTTCTTTTTCCAGCATGAAATGAGAGCCCCGATTTAATCATTTCTAAGACTGAATGCTCCTATATTGGCAGTTAGTCGGATATATGGTCTATAGGGGGGGAGGGGGGTGGGGGGTTAAAGTGAACCTGTCACAAGCATGGGAAATTCAAACTTAGCATGTGATGAAGAATGTCTGTGAAGGTTCTCATTCATCCAGGTCATGGGGTATATCTGTAAGAAATAAGTCAAGGCAACTTGGACTTGCTGTATTTTTCTTGAAGACGTTTCACTGGACATCCGACCAGCTTTCTCAATTCAGAAAAATACAGCAAGTCCAGTTGCCTCGACTTATTTTTTACAGATTTAAGTGATGAAGAAATACATCAGTAGGGATCAACTTTAGTGACAATTGCATGTGAAAATATGACTAGATCCGGAAGGATGGGCAGCTGAGGCTGTTGTTGCAAATCTCCATCTTTCTTCTAAAACTTAAAGGAGAACTATGAGGCGAGTGCTTTTCACTCCTCCTCATAGTTCTAGCCGACCTGTGACAATGAAACTGTCACAGGTTGGCTCAGTAGATCGGGAGGTGAGCGAACACATACCGGCGTTCAATCACTTCTCGATCCTGTCACGGCTCTCTGCCGTGACAGGGGGAGGGACTGGATTCCCCGCTCCGATCCTGCAGCGCTGACTGGCGGAACGGACGGGGGAGGGGGCGGGTACAACTGGCTCTGCCTCTAGACACTCACGCAGCTGGGCGGATCCAGACATAATTGTCGGGATCCGCTTCAGCTGCGGCGTCTCAGTATACCGCGAGCTGTAGCTCCCTATATACTGAGCTTTGGGTGACGGGAGGACGCTAGTTTGTGTCCTCCCGTTAGCCTAAGGAGAACTATGGAGAAAAGCCCTGACCCCATAGTTCTCCTTTAAAGATTATCTAAAGCCTGGTATTTATTGCATGTTGAAAAACGGCATGAATACAAGTACAAAAAATGTGATTCTGATTACATTTTGAGGACACTGATGACCTCTTGCTTGAGGTGAGAGAACCCAGGGGTCCTCCCTGTCCCCGAGATATCAGTAGAATAATGCTTTTTTAGTCTCTTTTTGCACTTGAGCTTTTGGACTTATAAAAGGATTTACTTGTATTCATGGTGTGTTGGATGTTTTTGCATATGTCTTACATGGCAGGCTGGGCACCTTGAACAGTATGGTGCGGGATGGGTTGTTAATAGGTTTTTATTATATTTAAGTTTGTAAACCCTTTAGAGAGATTCTCTCTGCTTTTTGCTCTGGTGACCATTGTCTGAAAACTAAGATCTACTTTTGCAGGAAATATTTAGAGTTTCACATTAATTTAGATGCCTAGATCTCTGGATCTCTACTGATCATTTGGACAAGTTTTCACCAAAGTCAAATAATTGGCTTTCAGCATATTATTTTTTTTCCCCAAGCTTTAAGAGTTGAGCATGGAGAGGGATAGTAAGGCCTAGTTGAGGTCTTGGGGACAAGGTAGTCCATGGCAGGGATGAAAAGAGAATAGAAGATGAAGGGTAGATAAGAGCTTTATAGGTTTAGAGGAAGGGGGAGGTGGGTTGGGTACAGAGAGGAATAGAATGTTGCCTAGTTGAGGTGTTGGGAACAAGGTAGTCCCATGGCAGGGACGGAAGAGAAGAAAGAAAATTAAGGATAGAGAGGAAATGTAGAGAGTTGAGGGGGTTGAGTGTGGAGTGGATGGGGTTTGGCCCAGTTGAGGTGTTGGGACAAGGCAATCCCATGGCAGGGAACAAAAAAGAGAAAATTAATGGTAGATAAGAGTTTTAGATGGTTTGGGAAAGGGATGGGGGTGTTGGGTGTGGAGAAGGATAAAGTGTGGCCTAGTTGAGGTGCTGGAGGCAAGGTAGAAAAAATGAAGGGTAGAGAAGAATTGTAGAGGGCTTAGGAAGGGGGTAAGGTGTGTGGAGAGGGATAGCATGTGGTCTAGTTGTAGTGTTGCAGACAAGGTAGATTCATGGCGGGAAATGGAAAAAAGAAGAGAAAATAAAGGGTAGAGAAGAAATGTAGAGGTTTAGAGGGATGTTGGGTACAGAGAGGTACACCATGTGGCCTAGTTGAGGTGTTGAGGTAGTCTCATGGCAGGGAACGGAAAAGAGGAAATGAGGAGTAGAGAAGAAATGTAGAGGGTTGAGCAAGTGGGTAGGAGGGTTGGGTGCAGATAGGGATAGTGTGTGGCCTAGTTGAGGTGCTGGAGACAAGGTAGAAAAAAATGAAGAGGAGAGAAGAATTGTGGAGGGCTTGGGAAAGGGGTAGGGGGGTTGAGTGCGAAGGGGGGCATAGCATGTGGTCTAGTTGTAGTGTTGGACACAAGGTAGTTTCATGGCAGGAAATAGAAAATTGAAGAGAAAATAAAGAGTAGAGAAGAAAAGTAGAGGGTTGGAGGGGATGTAGGGCGCAGAGAGGGATAGCAAGTGGCCTAACTGAGGTGTTGGGGGCATGGTAGTCCCATGGCAGGGAACGGTAAAAAAACTTGGGTAGAAAAGCAATTTAGAAAGTTGGGAAAAGGGGACTGGGTGCAGAAAGGGATAGAGAGTGAGGTTCTTTACAAGTCATGGGGAAGACGGATGGGTGCCCATGTGGACATGCCTACTTTAAAAGAGGTGTAGTAACTCAGGTTATGGGAGAGAGTGGAGCCCATAGAAAACGATCCAGATGGAGATTTAGTCTCTTGTCTGAATCAGTCATGTAACAGGGCTCTTAATTCCTCCCTACGCTGAAGGCGGGTCCTTCCATTGACTCATTCATTCGATGGGTGGGTGTTGGAGAAGATCGCCAATGCCTCAAGGTCACACTATGTCTTTCTCAAGCTTCGCTAATTTTTTTATAAAAAAGTTTTTTTTTTTGTACAAATATGTCAATTCCTTTAATGATTATGAGAGTCCCGTCACCATATTTACATGGAGTTATTATTATTATTATACAGGATTTATATAGCGCCAACAGTTTGCGCAGCGTTTAGGAAATGAAGAGAAAAGATAAAAAATAAAAAATATATAGATAGATAGATAGATATAAAAAAAAAGTTCTCGAGCGAGGTCTGCTTACCAACACAGGACTCCCCAGATATGGAGTAGGTCCCGTTGTCATGGAAACCGCTTCTGCACTCACAGTGGTACCACCCCGGGAGGTTAGCACAGCGGGAATGGTTGTGACACTCTATGATGCCCTCAGCACATTCATCAATATCTGCCTCGGAGAAAAACACAAGCCAGGCAGAAATTAATTTCCTTTGACACTGAAAAGAACAAAGCATTTGTCTATCATCCGTCATTGTAGGACTTGATCCCAGCGTACACACAAGGTGATCGGCTTTCATTTTGATTTTTTTTTTTCCAGTTAAACATTGAATTCTTTTTTTTTTTTTTCAAGAGCTTAGTAAACTACTGGAACAGGGCTGGAGGGCAATTCATTACCATTAATTACTGGGAGGTCGATCGATGGACTCTCTCTCTTCCTAACTCGCTGCTTTTATTTCCAATGCCGCGAGGAATGTAAGCTATCGAGCCCTCGTTGGGGGGGGGAACTTTTCCACCAGTTGTACGCGCGTATCGGTAGCGGATTAAACAAAAGCCGCGACCTCTGGCTGTGCCGCCAGACTCGGAGGCCGTGACATTAGTAACAATGTTTTAAGTAGATCCAAACCCCCGTCTTTAAAATCTCACAGAAGCTTCAACGTGTCAACGTGGTTTTCAATCTGCGCTTTTCATTAAAATGATCCCCCCGTGATCCTGCCATGGTGGCCCCTGTGCAAGGCACTTCCTGTTATAGGATGACAACTGTCTCTCAATTGTTCTCCTGCCTTGTCACCCCTCATGGAGACTGCAAGTGGCCATGCCAACACATATTGTGCAAGCATGGTCCACCATTGTCACCATCAGGAATGCAATTCTGCTAAGCAATAATGGGTAGTCAACGCTGGGGCGAGTGCATGTAGACAGGAAGTGGATGAAAGAGGCTTTGGGAGGTGGACAGGATGGAAATGGAAAAAAAAAATTGTTTTTATGACTAATTAAAGGCACATGTGTATGATACATAGAGGGGGATTCATAAAATCTGGAACAGTTGCCCATGGCAATCAATCAGCTTCTTTTCTACATTCTTTAGTAAACTAAAGAGACAAGCTGATTGGTTGCCATGGGTAACTGCTCCAGATTCTGTCTGCTTCAGCTTTGATATATCCTCCCACCCCATAGTACTTTAGCAAACCAAATGCCATCCGAGCCAGGGCTTAGACCAATCTTCAATCAGACGTCTATGCGGCTTATATTTTGCCTTCCCTGGTTCCTTCACTCCCCTCCCCCTCATCAACATGCTGATAAAATCTTCTTTTAGACCCAGTGACATCATCACTAGGTCCCTACACATCTGTGCAATGCAGGCATATCATGGCTGGTGGCAGGGTCTGGCAGGGTGCTGTATATAGTTTCCTGACAACATCATGGCACCCTGCCTAAGTACTCTACTCAGGAGCCCTCAGCCCTGATGCAAGCAGTGGGCGGGCTCTTGGGAGTAGTTATGCAAATATCAGAATGCCTTGATGGGTGGATATCAGTCTGGAGGAGTGGACGTACCTAGGTGCATGTAGACCACCCTAGGTGCATGTAGACCACCCTAGGTGACTCCCATATGTGTTGCTGAGCCTCCATGATTGAAGGAACTGAAATCCAATGAATGAAAGGGATGGGCCAGGGGAATTTCTAGATGATGCTGGACGACTTCCAGCCAGGAAAGGAGGTGGGCTCTGTCTGACTTGCTGCATCTTCTAATGTACACTGTGAGGAGCTCCCAGTGTGCAGAGAAATCAGAGGAAGCAATTTCAGTCCAGGAGAGGAGCCGGTACAACTGTGCAAGACTGAAGGGAAGGCCGGAGTTCAGATTTAAAGCATATGTCCACTTTACTCTCATACCAACTAAACCCCACAGTGTACCAGAGTATTTCTGTTACCCATGTGCCCTCCCCCCCCCCCCCCCTAGTAGCTTTTCCCATTATAGGTACTGTATATGTGTATTTTAATGCAATTTGTAAAACTTGGGATGGTGGAAAGGGGAGGTAGCCCTATTTTTATACAATATTATACCCGGGGGAGTCCTTCTCTGATCATCAGTACATAGTCACCTGTCACATTGTACATGAATCCCCGGGACACTCGGCCACACACAGCTCACTAAATACCCAATTACGCGGATTACAGATTACAGCGACAACGGCCAAGATCCGTCATTTCGGCGGCGGCGCTTTGTGTGTATAATCCAGAAAATATTGTGGCCCCTGCAGCGACGGGAGCGGCGCACGACGTACAGGTGGTGAGCGAATTACATTGTGTTACAGAACGAAAGCCCAAGCCGGAGACTCTTCTCTGCAGATCCCACTGTGAGACCTTCACCGGCACAAGGACGGGGTAACGGATGACGGCGACCGCGCCGCTGCCATTCCCTGCGCCCCACAGAGACATTCTCATTAGGCGCGTGAATTATTACGACACGTGTGCCTGATGTCCACAGAACACAATGTATAGTTACAAAGATTTTATTTTGTCATTTTGTTTTTTTTTCTTCAATTTCAAAGGATATTCAGTTGTTACAATTTCCAAAGCTGAACCTGATTTAAAGGGCCAGTAATCCCCAAATCAATAGTAAGCTAAATGTGAGATTGTAGTCCATCCCGGGAGCGAGCTTGGAGCGGTGACTACTTTACAACACACACAGGGACCATGGGGAACAGACGTAGCCCCCCCTCCAGAAGGAAGGACAGTGTCAGAGATGATTGGAGGATCTACAGCCGAGTGAGACACAAATAAGATACATTGTTGCTCAGAGTTCAGGGACTTGAATGTATTTTTAAGGTTTAACTCCTGATTGAATGAAAACCGGCTGCAGAGGACTACAAATATCAGCAATACATTATACAGCAATGCCAAATACCACCAGCTATAGAAGACTGCATATCCCAACAATATATTATAAAGCAGTGATGAATGGCAACCGGCTATAGGGAACAAAAAATCCCAGCAATGCATTATACAGCATTGCAGAATAATTTGAAGCGACATACTTTGTGCTGCCTCGGGGTGCCGGCCTGATGTCTCCAGCGGAGGATCTCAGGTGGATGTGCAGGGTCTCAGTAGGGCTGTGTGGGGTCTCAGGAGGCTGTGTGGGGTCTCAGGAGGCTGTGCGGGGTCTCATAATTCTGTGCAGGGTCTCATAATTCTGTGCAGGGTATCAGATGGGCTGTGTGGGGTCTCAGGAGGCTGTGTGGGGTCTCAGGAAGCTGTATGGAGTCCCAGGTGGCTGTGCAGGGTCTCAGGAGGCTGTGCAGGGTCCTGGAAGAGCTGTGTGGAGTCCCAGGTGGCTGTGCAGGTCTCAGGAGGACTGTGCAGGCCTCAGGATGTTGTGCAGGGTCTCGGTGGCTGTGCATGTCTCAGGAGGCTGTGCAGGGGCTTAGAAGGGCTGTGTGGAGTCCCAGGTGGCTGTGCAGGTCTCAGGAGGACTGTGCAGGCCTCAGGATGTTGTGCGGGGTCTCAGGAGGGTTATGCAGGGGCTTAGAAGGGCTGTGTGGGGTCTCTTTAAAACAACTGTCTTTACGCATTGCACAACAGTACATTCCAGGAGACGAGAACAACAACTTGTTTCAAAAACATCTTCTGTAAAGTCACCCCAGCAAGTGAACCTGTTATTATTGAAGTGTTTGCTCTTTAATAATCCCGTATTATAATGATGATAACAGACAAGAACCCGACATTAGCATAAAAGCAACTAATCATTAGTAAAACATAGAATCATTTTTCTTTGACAATAGGGAGGAAGGGGGGGGG